TTATAAAGAAATAAACCATAATATAAATAAAATTAAAAAAAAATAAATAAATAAAAACATTTATTTCCTACTGAACTATTATAACCATATAATACCTTAGTTACGATAATCATAAACAAGGTCTTAACTCCCAAGGAAGTTAAGGATATCATAACCCCCAAGGGAGTTAAGGATTTCCATAACTCCCACTTTTACCTTGAATAGGTGAAACTTTGACAAAAAATAGAAAATTTGGTTTATGGTTTATTTCTTCATAAAAATGGACAAAATACAGTAAATTCAGTAGGAAATAAAATTATCTATGTAGCATGGGCATTATCAGGTGTTAATACCCACGGGCAATTGGTGCCCTGGGATATTAACACCCTCATAATTCCCTTGATACATAAATAACTATTACAAGCAAATTTTGACATCAACAATGGATATCTTATGACCCCATATACAAACATAAAATTACAGTTTCATAAAACAAGCTGTGCAGTGTATTATAATACAATTGCACCACGTGTAGAACAAGTTGTAAGAATTGAAACGGTGAAATTAAGTATAATACCGCAACAAAAACTGCATACCTGCAAGATCACGGAATGTTTATCAATACCAAAAAATAGGTATGCCTTAACAACGGTTTTAATTAACACTTGTAATAGCATTACTTTGGATATGTCTGAACCCATAGACGTAGAAAAATTTAATATCAAGGAAATACAAGAAATTGACTTACATAATTTTGATGAAACGCGAAGATCTCCCAAATTAGACTTTTCTAAGTTTCGCTTCGACCATCTCAACGAAGAAGAAAAAGACATAATTTTGGTATTAATTGAAGAATTTTCTGAGATATTTCAAAACGAAGAGAAACCGTTGATATTTACTAATAAAATTAAGCATATAATAAGGACATCAGACGAAATACCAGTGTACAGTAAAACATACCGCTATCCATTTATGCAAGAAGAAGTAGAAAAACAACTAAAAAAGATGCTGGATCAAAGCATAATCAGACCAAGTAGTTCACCCTAGAATGCACCGATTTGGGTAGTCCCGAAGAAAGCCGACGCCTCTGGAATGCAAAAACTAAGAGTACCTAGTTTGCGATTTTTGGGGGCCTTAATACAAAAAGCTTAGATGACAGATACCTATTCCCCAACATAACGGATCTCTTGGACAAGCTGGGACGCTGCCAGTATTTCACCACCTAAGACTTAGGCTAGCGGCTTCCACCAGATTCAGATACATGGAAACGACATTGAAAAAACCGCATTCAGCACAGAAAACGGGCATTCCGAATTTTTGCGCATGCCCTTTGGTTTGAAGAACGCGCCGGCAACATTCCAAAGAGTTATTCGCGGTATACAAAATGAAAAATGCCTCGTCTACTTAGACGATATCATTGTGTTCTCAAGTTCACTCCATGAAAACCTGAAGAGACTAAGAAGTGTATTCCAAACATTACGAGAATCCAACTTTGAAATTCAGCCAGATAAGTCAGAATTTCTAAGGAAGGCCTATCTAGGACACGTAGTAACCGCAAATTGCGTCAAACCCAATCCCGACAAAATTAAAGCTATCCAGGAGTTCCCCATTCCAAAGACGACGAGACAAATCAAAGAATTTGTAGGTTTAATATGATCTTATAGAAGATTCATCATCATCAGAACTTTGCAAAAATTACAAAACCTTTGACTCAGTGTCTCAAAAAAGGAGCAAAGATTGAACACAATTCTGAATTTGTCCAATGCTTTGAAACATGCAAGAATCTACTGAATAATGAACCAATTTTACAGTACCCCGATTTTTCCAGAACGTTTAACCTAACTACAGACGCCAGTAATGCGGCTATTGGAGCTGTTTTATCGCAAGGATCAATTGGGAATGATTTACTAGTGGCTTATGCATCCAGAACTTCAAATAATTCCGAAAGAAATGACTCGACCATCCAAAAAGAGCTTCTTGCAATGGTTTGGGCCACTAAATATTTCAGTCCTTATATTTTTGGCAGAATAATAAACCTTGTAAGCGACCCTAAGCCTCTGCAATGGCTATTTTTTGTGAGAGAGGCTGGCTCTAAACTATTAAGATGGTGAATGAAACTGGATGAATATGATTACAACATATATAAAAAGGGCAAATTAAACTCCAATGCCTTGTTTAGAATTGAATTACATACCAAAGAGATAGAGGATATTTTCACCACCTAAAGAATACATTGAACGTTTTAACCAAGAACTAGAGAATTCCATCGAAAATACTGACCTCATGTCCACCATGGCACAAGCAGGTGAAAATATCCAAGATAATGAAACAAACGCCGAGGAGATCCCTGCTGAAACACCAAACGACAACAATATGACGATACGTACAAATGAGAGCGAAGATACGATTGTGGGTATCCTTATACCTATATTATTATGATATACCAGTAAACTATGGATCCAATCAACAATCAACTAATAATTTCTTATGTTTTACGCTTTCCCGCGAAACCCAAAATTACTATTCTCTTCGAGAAAAAACGCCGATTTAATAACCAATTATCGAAAAACAACTTTGATCAAGACATATTGAACTTTGTTAAAGAAATGATTGTTCCTGATAAACAATATCATCTTTACTTTGAAACAGCAGAATTGTACGAGCCTTTTTGCGAAGTGATAAGAAAAATCCTCAAATGGCCATCATTACGATGCTTGAAAAGATTGATCGACGTCACTGACAAAAATGAAATACCAGAAATAATTAAAAATTATCACGAGTCAATAACTAACCACCGTGGAATCGACGAAACCCTGCAAAAAAATCAAAGACAAATATTATTGGCCAAATTTGAAAAACTCAGTACAGAAATTTGCCAAAGGAGCAAGTACGAGCGTCATTCCATCCAGAATGAAAATAAATATCACACCAACAGCATCAAAACCTTTTGAAATCATACACATAGACACATACACACTAGAGACTAAATTTTTGACAATAATAGATAGTTTCTCAAAATATGCTCAAGCTTATGCTCTCCAATCTTTCTTAGCTACTGAGATTATCGACTAACTTCTAATATTTTTCTCTCATCATAGTGTGCCCAAGCAAATCACTTTAGACAATGGCAAAGAATTTAAGAATAGCGTAGTAACTGAACTTTTAGGCCTAAATAAAATCAAATTACATTTCTGTTCCCCGAATCATCCCGAATCTAACGCTATGGTTGAACGCCTACACTCCACATTGGCTGAACATATCCCTTTACTCAACAATGATAATTTTGCGAAAACTCCAATAAATCAGAAAATGATATATGCTATTTTAACCTATAACCATTCAATACATTCAGCAACCAACTTGAAACCCATTGATGTCATTAATGGGCATATTTCACCTAATGACCCTTTTGATGTCAAACTAGACCAAATCATCATTAACGATTATGTTTATAACCATAAAGAAAAATCCAAATTATTATATTCAAAATTAAATCAAAAATTGATAGAAAACAAACAACAAAATAACATTTTTGCGTACTGGTCCTTGTGAAGTACAGATGTTGCCGTTCACCAAGAGCCCCTCCAACTGCCAACAAATCGATGTCACAATATCCGAGACAATAATCAATCAACTTGATACGTCCCATAAGTGGATATTTGTTCTTCCAAAAAAAGAGATCGCAATGCTACAAGCCGAACACTCAACACTTGACGTTTGAAGCTACACGGAAGCTATTTAATAAACCTACCATTTGGATGCCAAATATACAAATAAAAGATTCATTGATTTCGAATGACCAGAAAACGATCTCAGTCAATTAACAGCCAATCAACTTTCCAGACATCGAAACTACGCCTCCGCGCCTTCCTGTACTTAATTTGAGTTTTAATTTACAGGAAATCAAACTTGACGAGCTCCACAAAATAAAAAACAGAATCCATAATAATGAACCCCCGCAATTCATCTCCACAATTCTAAGAGCATCCAGTATTTGGACTTCATTCATTTATGTAATTCTAATAACCATAGTTGGTTATACCATGGGCAGACACATAATCCAAAAATGGAATGGAAGAAAGCAAACCACCGTCTTTCCAGGAGCCCAGCTGTTAATCCAACTACCCCTCCAGAAGGTGAAGTTAATTCTGAGGATAGAGGAGTTATCTGATGGTCATCGCTAATTATTGTTCTCGTTTAAATTTTTGTAAAATAATTTTTTTTAAAAACAACTCTCGTCATTCGTATAAGTTATTTAGCTACTTGCTCCAGTATTAGTCGCCCCGATGTGAAAGGAATAGCTGCGCAGGCTTTCGAGGTTTGAGTTCGGGCTTGAGCACTCAGGTGCAAAAAAAACACTTTTCGGAAGGAATAGGTGCGTAACGCCCCGGAGCTGTTCCGGAGCTCCTTCTAGGTGTGAAAGGAATACAACTATTAGATAGTACCTATAAAAAATACCTATGCATGATACAGGTTCCATCATTACAACAGAGGAAGTTGAACATGTATTACTCAAGTGAAAATCGGACAAGTTCAAATCAAAGATACACTTATTCCGGTAAAATACCAAATTAATCATCTTATTACGTTGCCCAAAAAGAGCTAATTTTCTTAATTGTTCTTATCTATCAAGAAAATCTACAAGTTGTGTGAAAATTTCCTGAAACGCACCCAATTTAGATTTGAGCATGTTAGATGATGGATGATACAGAACGTAGAAACTACCCAATTTCTATTGAAAATCGCAAAGCAACAGCGCTCAACATCGATCGATTTTATTTTCTCTTTTATAGTTCATAAATATGAGTTTCTCCAGCGAAAAGTGGTTTCAAAACTCAACCAAGCACAACTTATATTTTCAGTCCACTATTCAAGGAGGCCAGGGGAAATAGAATAATATAAATATCATTATAATTTGCGCTAATAATTAATTAATCAAATTGATTGTTTATCTATTATGTTTTGAGATGACTCTGGCTGCCTCGGCCTGGAGCTCATCCATTTGGCAGAAGATCACATACCTGGCTGGCAGTACCAGAGCTTCCAGTTCGGCTGTCAAATGACGTCGAATGATGTTTTTACTCGATGGAATACCCAGCGCCGTTGCCATCGTGTCTCCATTGAATGATGGTTCCAATACCACTAGACCTCCATGAACTCCACTGTCTATGTATGATAATTTATAAGATTTAAAAACATACTCTAATATTAGTAGTGAAATAGAAGATATCTATATCAAAAATATATTATGTTCAGGTGGCAAACATCAATTTCAAGAAAAATCTTATTTTATGTTTGATTCTTATTACCTTTTAAATTATCAGCATACTCTCCAAGATCGATACTCCTAGCCCAACGTATAAACCGTTGGTTCGTCCAAACTAATGGGTCGGCATCCATGTTTTCGCACTGGTGTCTTCTCAACGCTAATGCCTAATTATAACAGTAATTAAATTTTCGCTAGACATTCCAAGTAGATCTCCGTTTACCTGTCTATCATATTTCATAATCCTCAGAAGATGGATGCCGTGCACTATGGAAGCTTGATGAAATTTTCGGGTCACTCCCAGATATTTTTCTAATTCTTTTTTGCTCAAGTGCTCCAACATTCTGGCGTCGACCATGTTTGCGGCGAAACTATCAGAATACTAAACAAAAATAGAACTTAGAAACTTTAATTTGAGCCACTTCGAGTTTCTTGTCTCTGACAGGATATCAAAAGTTTCTGAGCTTAGCTTCAAAACTTTTTTAGAGTTGTTTCAAGTGGTTATAGGGAAAATTAAGTTTTTAAACATCGAAAAACTATAAAATATTGTTTAGGCTAGCATGAAACATGGAACTTCGAATAAAGATGTATTGTACTTCACTTGATATACCGCTAGAAACAATCCCACAATTTGGATGAAAAAGTGATGCGAGGCAAGATAAATTAACAGTTGGGTAAAATGACTTTGATATTTTAAACCTACTTGTGATAATCCCAAATCCGGTAGCCACTCGCTGGAAACCCAAGTATGGCCTAGCTGAGCTATACACGGATACCGAACCAAAGCAGGATGACGGTGTTCTTCAATGGCCAAACGTATTTTTTTCCGGTGCATCGGGTGGGCGATTCCTAAACCACACTCGAGTTCCAGGTCGCTCAGTTCTAGCAGGACCTGCCCGTTCAAACGACCAATCTATAATGATTTTTTTGAATATATGCAGCCAATTTGGAATAGATTTTAATCTAAATTTTGAGCAGTCTTTAGATAATTGTGTTAAAAGTTAATGGAATTTGAGGTATTAAACTAGTTGTTACCTTTCCGCTTTTTATATTCTCTGCACACCTGGCTCCATATTGTGGCATGCCGAGAGCTACTTCTAGCCAAGCCAGTACTGTCGGTGCTCGCCATCTTTCCATAGGAATAGTACTAGCTTCTCTTAGTAATCTTAATTTTTCCGCGTAACCTTCTTCGGTTAACGGCGACCAGCTTCTGTAAGGCTCGTAACCATGTTCACCTATATTAATCAACAAATTTATGTAGGTAACAAAAATATACATACAGTAAAACATTGTCTTCATTTAATTTAAAAGAAGAAGACGCCCAAAACTTCCTTTATAAGATCTTATTGTAATGACCCGGGAAAATAGACCCGTAATTTACAATGTCCTAACTGTAAAAATTAAATGTAATCAAATAATCAAAAACTGAATTTCCTGTATTTGAAATCAGTATCAATAAACTGAAAATGAAATAAATTAGCGTTGACCCCAAATTAAATTGAAATATTAATATAAGTACGTTAAAATTTTATTATTTAGTCACCAAGAGTGATGTCATCATCTAAATCAAATTCATAAAATTATTAAAAGCGAGGCCAAATTAATTAAATAGGTGATTTATGGCCGCACGTGTTCTTCGGCTTTCTTTGTGTTGTATTCACATTCCTAAACCAAATCTGTTGACCCCGATAAACCAGGAACTTGCGACATAATTATTCGATTTTAAACAAATAAAAACCCGGAAGAGATCAATTACAAGGTTAAGCACCTAATTAAATAGGACCCAAAATGACAAAAATTTCGAACAGATTGCATCATCCTCTAAAAATGATGAAATTAGTTTTTGGAATAATATCTAGGTCGAGTGGTCGACCAATAGAATTAAATTATAGATGGTCAAACGTCCGCCCATTGTCGATTTAGGTTGGAAATTAATAATATTTTGGGGGGAATCCAAAAAGATAAATACAGCGGTTTTAGAAGTGGAGGGCGGTTGAGTTGAGTTGTTAGTTCAGTCCAGTTTGAGTTAAAGTCTACAGTACCTGATAAGTCCGTCCGGATAAAAATTCGCTAAGAGTTTATTTTCTTGTTTTTGCCTCGGGAAAACGCGTTAAATCTTTAAAAAGTAACGAAAATTTATGAAAGAAAGTCCATTAAAATTCGTTCAACATTATGTGCGTGCTCTAGAGATTTTTGAAATAAATTTATTAAGTATTAAATGTAAGTACTCTAGTGGCTAGTAAAACTTTTTGACTTTATAAATGATGATTGACTATGAAGTGAATTGACATTGAAACTTTAATGCATAAAAGCTTGAGTGATTTGACTGTAAAAACTTTATTGCATAACTTTAATTGCCTTCGAGTATAATGACATTTTAATTAATTTTGCAAAGAATTAACAAAGGAAAATTATAATGCTCTTAATATTCGATTTTGAGTAGAAATTATTAAAGAAATTTGAATTGAATTGTCCAATTGATGTTTAAGGGCTATAGTAACGAACTAATAAGAATTTAAATAATTGTGTTTGTTGTCTAGGAATCCGAAAATAGTAATTGTTCTGATTAAATAAACTATTAAATGAAATGGGAAGTTTTGAAAAGAAACTTATTGTTCATGAAGTTGTTGACCTTATGTGCTGAAATTTTGAATTATTATTTTTTTCATTTAGAAATTATTGTAAGGTTTTTATAAAAATATAGTTGATAATACATATTCTTATGTACTTAATCCAGTGAGTAGGATTATGACTTTAATAATTATTTTGCATAAGCTGTCAGTAAATGACTTAGGAGTTTTAAGAATTTATAGATATAGATGAAGGGTAGGTAGTTTTAATAGGAATGTGAATCGGAAGTGTTGCTTGAAAGAGTAATGTATAAACTTATAAGTTATTAGGAATAGAAGAAGTATGGATATTTCCTGGTCCGTAGTAATGAAATTTGAACGGATGGAAATAAATTGAATTGGGAAAAATAGAAGTGGCTGTCAGAATTGAAAGATATTTGCTTATTTAAAATTTTGGTTTTAAGTATAATAAAATATAATTTAGTAAACCTCAATAGTTTGTTTCTTTCTTTTGCGAATAGAAGATGACATTTGACACCAAATGTATTCACTATATATTTACGCACTTACCGGCCTCCTGTAGAGAATTGGTTTTATTTCTATGCCTCGACCTGGCAAACACTCTGGAAATGCTGCCCCAAGTGCCACCCCGCCCTGAAAGTCTGTTCGGTGTTTTTGTTCTTTTGCCTATTGTAATGGGTTCTTGTTCTAGGGGCGAACTAAGTTGCTCTACCGATCTGTAATTTAATGTTTTACTATTCGAAATATCTTAGAATTCATCTAAGCGACAGTAACTTCAGGTTCAAGAAAAACAATCAAAGCTTGCTCTATATTTGGATGGAAAAATCCATTCAGCCTTTCATTACTACGTTTTTTTTTTTCTGTTTTCTAGTCTTTGGACAACTAATTCTGCGCCTTTTTTTTTTAAAGCGCTTGTCTACTCTAAAATTAGGATTTGTGTCCCATCTCATGGAGCCAATCAATGCGCTTCCCAATTTCTTCAAACTAATACCAACAGCTCATCTGCTGCTCTATTAATAAGAAACGCAAATTTGCTTTACAAGTAGTCTTGAACCTCAATCTGTCTCTATATTGTCTAGGGGGTTCATTTGAACATTGAATCACTAGTAAATTATTAACAAACCTTGATAAACTGCTAGGATCTATGGATCGTGGAAAATTGTTAGCGTTTAATGGTGATAACGTCGGGCTGCAGTCTTTAGTCGAAATTGCTGCAATTAAGATAGTGAATTATTGGTTGGTAGAATCGTTTTCATTTAAAATAATTAACGTTGACGTTTTCTTAGTTTTTTTTTACTGAAATAATTACAAAAATTGTATAACATTTTGTTTATCATTAAATATTATCTACGTTGATATTTCGATGCGTGCGTTTTTTTGGTTCATTGTAATAATTAGGAAAATTGCACAAAACTAACCAATTATTATGAAATCATGTTGATAATGCGTAGAATATAAAAAGGCTTTGAAGTACAAAAGCTGATATTCTAGTAGATTCCTAATATCTGGAAACAATGGCAAATCAGACGATATTTTTCATGATTTTGGTTTCCATTTGTGTCGGTAAGAACTTTTTATTTAAAAATTAGACTTAGTCAAAAAAGATTAAACTTAATAAATTACTTAATAGGTGTAGTTAAGTACATTTAAGTCCATCCAACTATTGAATACGGCCCCATTCAAATAAAAATTTTTGATGCTCCATTCTTCCAATCATTTGTAGTACATTGTCAGTAGCTACTGAAATTTCGAAAAGCTTGATTCTACAGTACCTAGATCATATTTGCATTTTCTTTTGTAATTTGTGTCGGTTTCCTTAGGAGCATGTCAGCTAAATGTTGAACCTAAACTTCCTATTTTCACTCAGAAAGTTATAGAGAACTATCAATTTTGCCTGTTGCCTTCAAATTTTGACTCTATACATGCATCAGTCATTAGTGGACCCAGTATAATCACTTATTTTTTGTCGCTTTCAGGCTTTAGCTTAGCTGAGCAATGTTATGAATGCGGTGCTAGTAACAAAGATGGTTGTTCTCCTGACGACGAAAAGCTCAAAGACTGCAAGGGTTCTTGCGTAATGGTGCACGCATTATTTGGTGGTAACGAGGGTTACATACGTGGATGCAGTTCGCAATCAAAGGATAAAGCCTGCGACGCATACCAACAAAGTGCCGAAAAAGTAATGGAATGTTCAGCCTGTACTGAAGATAAGTGCAACAATGGAGACTTTTCATCTTAAGTACCTATTATTTCGTTTAGGTTCAGGGAATTAAAAAACTGTTTTTCCAAGGCACATTTATAATATACACAATTCGCAAATTAAGTATTGGACCTTATTTCAAAAAATCTAAATCCAAATTTTGCATACCTACTTTTCTGTTTTGTTAAATTTTAAGATTTCTAGAAGAGGTTAGACAGAGGATAAACAGCAGAAGTCACCACTTCTATGTATATTCTAGTAATTTAGCTTATGGTCGACGTCTAATAATGTTTTTAATATCAACCTAATTTCAAATCATGCATTACAAAAAAATATTCCAGCAGCTTACATTGGTACAAATGCGCAGGCGGTGGCGGAACAGTCGACATCAACGAAACTGAATCCACATCCCTGATACTGCCTTCAACTGTAATAGTTGGAGCGCCGTCTGTAGTTGAATCAGACAAATTTCCAGCTGCCGAAGTAGCACCACCGCTTTCTCTATCGGAGCTGACTCGTACTCCTGAGTCAGCGCTGCAGCTTCCTCTGTCGCCTGGCAATAAACCCAAATGACCTGACAGGAGGCCTCCAGATCCTGGAGTCAGGGCGCCGCCGTTTATGCTGTGACGTGGAAGGGAGGCTAAGGATTCTTGGTCCGATAGGCAACCGCCTAATTGTCTTCGAGCCTGAAAAGTGTTTATATGTTCAAGATTTAAGTTGTTCAACCTTTTTCTGGAAGAGAATGAGGTAAAGCCTACAGAAAACTAAGATAGGTAAGTACTCTACCAAATCGTCTACATACTGGAACACAAAACCCCACAGTTAAACAGCGAAATGAAAGACCAGAAGCGGAGAAAACAACAATATTACAAATAGTGATTGAAATACAAAGGCTAGAGACGTTAATGATATTCCTATATATAGGAAGCACTGTCGAAATTGAAAAAGATTGAAACTTCCAGCAGAAATGTCTAATACCAAGGTGGAAGCAAATCATTGGAAGCTTGGAAATTCATCAAATTACAAAATGGCGAATAAGGCAGCAGAAAGTTTTCTTTACAGGGTCAAAGCCTGATATACAATCCCAATTGGGCAAGTTCTAGAATTACGTCCAGTAAATGATAATTTTAGAGAATACCTAACATAGTAATTTCGTTTAAGACAAAAATTCTATATCGCCGACTCTACTCAAAATTTATCTGAGTGGGTTCTCGAGAACATGGTGCAAAGCTATATCTTGAGTAACCGTGAAGTTTTCCATTCCTGTGATGATTATATTTAATTGAAGATGAATATGAATAGAGGCGGTAGCATCGAAGAAGAAATTGAAGATAGATTAGGTAGGCAGAGGAAAAGTCGATATACAGCAATTCAATTGAGTCCACTGGTCGAAGAACTCATATTTGTAGAGGAAACACCTCCTCGCTAGAGCATTGGCAGCTCCCTAGAAGAATAGTGCCTGCTGGCATTCGAGATTTTAGAATGGAAGAGACGGCTTTAAATGTAACAAATATGAGAACAAATCTAAGAAAACCATTGAAAATCGGAGCATGGAATGTAAGAAGCCTATTCGAAGCTGGGAAACTGGCAAACCTCACACGAGAATTGAGCAGACTCAAACTGGATATCCTAGGTGTCGCTGAAACCTGGTGGCCTGGTGTGGGAAGGTGCACAATGTGGATAACGGAGTATTCTTCTACTCTGGTAATGACGATCCAAAACATAGAAAAGGTGTGGGAATTGTTATAACAAAAGAACTACTGAAATCTGTCGTAGAATTTGTTCCATACTCGAATCGCACTGCTTTATTGAAACTCAGAGCCAAGCCAAGTGATCTTAATATAATACAGGTATAAGAACCAACTGCGGACTCGTCGGACCATGATGTGAAGAAATTTCACGATGAAGTCAAGGAATTGCTAAAATCGACTGAAAAACATGACGTCAACGTAATTATGGGTCACTTCAATGCCAAAACAGGAAAGGGTATTTGAGGAGTTAGTTGGATCGTATGGTTTTGGAGAAAGGAACGAGAGGGATGATCGACTCTTACAATTCTGCCAGGAGGAAAGCATGAAAGTGACAAATACATGGTATCAACTTCACCCTCGCCGAATCTATACCTGGAAGTCCCCAGCGGACCGTCTACACAATGTAGTGCGAAACCAAATAGATTTCATCCTGATCAACCAAAGATTCAGCTCAACCATCAAGAGAGCCGTCACATAACCTGGGGCAGATGTGCCTTCTGACCATGTACTGTTGGTGGCTCTCTGTCAAGTCAAAGAAAGCCAACCACACAGCGACGGGTGACGTTAGAAAAATTGAGGGACCCAATAATAAAATCTGAGATGTGTAATGAGATAAATACACAAATACAAACAATAACATCGAATATTGGAGAAGAGCCAACACAAGCCTGGACAAAGATAATGGACATTGCAACAAACTCAATGCAAAACAGATTAGTGTATAAGGCAATTAACAAAAAACAAAAATAAATGACGAATGAGATTTTGTTGTTAATGGATGAACGTCGAAAGCACAAGAGCAAAACAGACAGCAACATGTACAAGGATATTCAAAGACTCATAAGATCAAAGATTAGAATAGCAAAGAACGAATAGCTTAAACGGTGCAGAATTCTCAGAGATAGATATCAACACCAAAAAAAAACAAAGTTTATGATTATCTCTAGAAACCCAAATATGTTTGAAAACTCCACCATAACATTTAATGCAAGGCCCATAGAAAGAGTGGATAAATTTAAGTACTTGGGCGTCTGGCTTTTCGAAGACTGGACATCAGACAAGGAAATAAAATCTCGCATTGAACAAGCTCGACAGGCAATCTTGAGGTTTCGAAGAGTGCTTACCTGTCCCGATTTTGACCTTAACCCAAGACTCAGATTCATTAAATGCTACGTTTGGTCAGTGCTTCTTTACGGAATGGAAGGTTGGACATTTTAGAGATGTGGCTGTATCGCAGAATCCTTAAGATACCTTGGACGGCTAGACTAACAAACGAAGAAGTCCTAAGACATGTCAACAAACAACGTGAACTGTTTGAATTGATTAAAAAGAGAAACACGGCATATCTGGGAAATACATTGCGAAACACGAAATACCAATTCTTGCAGCTGTTAATCGAAGACCGGAGTGGGATCCGAAGGAATAAAATGTCTTGGCTGCGAAATATCAGACAGTGGGCAGGGCCACATGATGTGCAGTCGTTAATACACACCGCAAGGAATAGAGAAGCAATGGAAAATGATATCGCAAATATCCATTAGTGGATACGCATTGGAAGAAGAAGAAGAATGGAAGCCATAGGAGAGGCAAGAAGGTAAAGACCGAAACCAACCTGGGAACAATGGCATTCAGAGAGTATGAAAGACCAGGAGGATGGTGAGTTAGAAGAGTAACACTGATCACTGCAATTGTGACATTGTTATCTATCTGGAAACATGTCAACATTTTACCTCTGCCAATTGTTCCTGGGCCTGTTGCAACTGTAACTCTTTAGCATTAAGTTGTGCAGCTAAAGATAAGCTTCTTTCAGCTTCATCTCGCGCATGCCTCAATAAACTCCATCTTTCCCGCTCTCTCTCCTCTCTTTCTGTGGATAATTGTTGAAGCGACGTTTCGTCTCTCACCCGCTGAAACAATCAGGGTCAAGGGTAGAATACGTTTGGGAATTATTGAACTACTTCTTACCTGCCCATAAGTTCTAATAAAATCTCTAAGTTCTTTTTCTTTATCTTCTAGAGTAGAAAAAAGTTGTTTCATTTGGTTCAGTAAATCGAACTTTTCGGCTTTCAGTCTTCGTTTATCGGATTTTAAAGCTAAAATGAAAATTTATTGCAACTAAAGTTGAAATAATCTCAGTTGCTTACTCGTCAAAGCCTCTTTTGCCAGTTGCAATTCCATTTCCAGTGCGTAAGTAGTCGAATCGCTAGCGCCGGCGCCTTCTGCCGGTGGTTTTCTTTCGTTCAATATTCCCGTGGCACCTGAAACTACTAGCCTGCGCAAGCGTGTTACTTCCGCTTGTAACCGGTCATTGTCCTGACGAAGTCTTCTAATAACGGACGACGATTTGTTAGGGAAATTTGAAGGGGATGGCAACAAGGCCAAAAGGTCTTCGGGATTTCCGTCTGAGCTGCGTGGCGAACGAGGAGATGAGGAATCTGAAATGGGTTTTATAAGTTAGATTGCCTGATGAAAATTTTTTCCAGTTTTTTATCATTTTTCTCAAAATCTGGATTTAAGGTAGAAATAATAATACAATCAGGTATGAGTACAAATATTTTAACATGAGATAATATGGCCCATTTCAAGCTAAAACTGTCCTATTAACCATGGGTCAATTGTTAGTATTTTCGGAGTTATCGTAGAATTTGAATTTACAAAAATGTTAACAACATCGTACAGGTATTATCTCTGCCAGGATATGGATGTAAATAGAACTGGTAAATTTAGGGCTGATAGGTACTTTTGCTCTCAATTAACGGATTTGATACATTGTGAAAGTTTTGCATGGGCCAAGGTCTATAAGTATGATGTGGACCACATTCCTGATTATTTTTAACGACTGTCAAATGAGAGCAAAAGTACCGGCACTTAAAGTTTTTTTTTTTTTGCAAGGAGCTTATTTATTTCCATCTGTTTAAATTTTTATCACTTTTCTGGTAAAAATAAAAAATGTATCGTTTTATTAAGTTGTGATTGGCACTCAATGACATTTTTGCAGTAAACATTCGAGAGAAAAATTAAATAATACTTACTCAGCTAGTTGCTAAATCCTTATTATTAAAATATTAATTTTTGTTGAAAGGTTCTCAAAACACTCAAATCAACACGCAGATTTTGCACACTCACACTTCCCGTATCACGCAATCTTTGTAAAACGGCCACAATGTTCTTTCATCAGATGGGTGCTCTTGGGAAATCTCTCCCTGTGAATTCTGGCGGCTAAATGGTCATTTTCCAACGATTCTGCCTAAGCAAGTTAACAAGTACCTATCTGCATATTCGACGTTTGTAAACATTTTATTTTCAAAAAAGAATGAATTACGCGTTTTTCTAATGCTTCAACTAACTGACATGAGACAAATCGATGTGTGTGTTGTGCTATGTTGCCAGGTGTTTAGATACCGATTTACAAGTGAAATTTTCATGATGTTTTTTCAATTTTTTATTATAAATATTCGTCAAAAAATGTCAAAACTTCAAAGGCCTTTTTCTTAAAAATGGTTGAGTTTGGACCCCATGTAGTATAAACTTTTTTTGTTCAAAATGAGCCATATTTTCACTTGTTGAAATTTTTGCAGTCAAACCTGATACACTCTGTATTTACTTACCCATATCTGGTTGACTACTACATCCAGGTTTAGGTGAATCTGACCGTTGGTTTTCAGGAGACGATCTATTGTCCTTTATGGGACTAGCACTTTCTTGTATTGTCATGTTATCTATTCTAATTTCAGTCTCCAAGCGCTCGCAATTCACCGGATTTGATCTTGTTTTTTGAATGTCTCTCTGGGAAAAATAGATTGCATAAATAAAAATTGAAAAATAATTACATTTTCCATTATAAAAACATCAAATTTTGTTTTCGAAATCAAACGTGCGAAAATATGAATATTTTTTAATGAAAAATGGCATTTTAATTACATGTTAGTAATTTACTGGCGCGTCAGTGTTTTTCCGAGGTTTTTTTCAATCTATATGGGTCATGAAATATGAGCTGGTGAGTTGAAACCAACAAATTATTATGGTAGAAATATTCGAGAAGGCTGTCTATCGGGAATAAAAAAGTTGCCACTGCACAAACCATTATTGAGCAATAATTTTGACTCTAAACCAGTGACAACGATCATTAAATTACATCCTGTTAATCTCTAAATTCGTAAAGAATGGAAATGCACATTAACTAAATTGCCCGGGATGTAAATCGTTAATTAGCGGTTCGTGTTACTCGAAATTCTATTTATTAGCTGACATCGCACATCAATGCGAAATTTATTTGTTAATTAGTATTGATTCGGTTCATTCGGTTCGAAAATTTCGAATTTAATTTGTTACATTCTGAACCGATTATGAGGGAGGCAAAATTTGTACATAACTGAACATTGGAATATTCCAATGTATAGTATATATATACTATATAGCATCTATATGAATGAAGCGACAAAAATCCTTTAGAAGAAGTGCTACACAGTAAGGGATACTGGATACTATGCCTAAAATGAAAAGGAAATTTCTAAAAATCATATCTACAAGTATTTTGCCGCAAGAAACACTTGTAGCTATGAAGATCTCGATAATAATAACAAATGCTCTAAAAAAAAAAAATTAAAAGAAGACACATACAAAGAAAACAGTCCTTATTTACTAGGTATAAAGTATTATGAAGATTGAAAAAAGGCGGATAATTTCCTTCAGAGAACTTATTTATCAAGGAAAATTGTTCAACTACCTACTCAGCAAAAAGTAAAAAATAGACTAGCCCTCCCCCCATTTTCTTTCTTGCTTTTCACGAGTTATAAAGCCAGAGCGCCAGAGTAACGAGTTGCATGTTTCCATTTACTACGTTTTCATGTTGCTGTTACTACAAATTATTATTCTGTCGGGACTTCTAACTTCGTTTGATGCATTTTAACTACTATGCGGTTTTCTTGCGCTTTCCTCCCTATCCCATAAATAACTTTTTCAATTCAATTTATAACTTACCTTACTTATTTCCTCGCTCGAATCCAGCGAACTGGTATTATTCAACGACTTGCTTCTCCTCGACTCAATCGAATTCGATTTACTCGAAATGAAATCATCCTTCTTTACATCACCGTTCCGTAATAACTTATTGTCTTCGGGCTCACTTAGAATGGGTTTTAAATCATTGTTTTGGGATAACGATAATGAGGGCGTTGTTGCAGGAATCGCGTCATCAGAAAGTTTCAGTCCTTGAGAGTTGCAAGCGGCGGTCGAAATGGAAATGGAGTTTGGGTAATCGGATTCGATCCGGGAGGCTAGGGAAGAGGAATGTTCTTCTACCATTCTGCGAAGCTTGGCCTAATATCGATAATAGCAAATTGATCGTAATATTTATAAAAGAGAAATGCCTTACCTGAGCATCTACAAGCAGACGCCGCATTAGCAGCGCCATGGCGGCGTGTTGCAAACCAACTGTGGCTCCATTAGGGAACCTGAAACCATATAAAGATTGATTTTAGAATTAAATCTCAAGCATTTTTAAAACACTCCATTATCTATTTTTCCTCATCAAAGTTACTTCAGTATAACGGTATAACAATGAATAAATGACAATACATCCACCACATCTCTATTCCATTCTTAGCTATTGTGACAAAGAAATACATTGCAGAGAATAGAGTATAGGCTGACTGACCTAGTTCACGCCCAAAGAGAGTTTATGTGACAAAACACACGGAGACGCCTTTTGTATTCTCACTTCGGCATACTCCAGTAACTTCGCAGCGCTACTAAACAACCCCCTCTATTGTTGTTGATACCGCCACCACGTAACTGATTGATAATAGTTTGCGAGCAGAAGGGTGGAAATTTAAGATCACATTTTGTTCTATTTAACTTAAGTATCTTATAAATATAAAATAGAATAAACCTCAAATCCTAAGCGTTCTGAAATATTTAAAAAAAGGCTACTGTTCTGAACTTGTTTAATATGGCTGGCAAAATCTAAGCACCATTGATACAATTACTTCCGGAATGGGGACCCCAAAATTGCATTGCGGACAATAACGTCTTGCTGGGATCGCAACCACCTGGGGAAGAACCCTAAAAGCCATAGCCTCTCCCCTTTTATAACCTCCATAAATTTGATTTGCCTGAACGGACAAGAATCCAGACACAATATTTACTTTACGGTGAGTCATAAAACAGAGGCTGAACTTGAGTTTTTTTTTTTGTAACTTCGAATGAAGGGCCGATCTTCAGACAATATTTAAAGTTTCTTTTCTTCGCTATCACCGCTGATAAGATCCTTAAAAGCATCCATGGATGGCAGGGCAAATTATTTTATATTTTCTTCCATGGAGCTGAATTACTGGAGTTGTATTCTTGTCAGTTTTAGTACCTAAGTACTGTGATCATGCCTCAGATGTCACCATTTGTTGCTATTTGTCTTCAGACTTCTATTCTTAGCCTCTGGAACCTGAAACATGTCAGTGGATCTTGTAGCGGGAGAAAGAAACTTTCATCACTTTTTTGTACTTTCTCTTATGAAACCTACTGAAAATATTTGGAAAGGTGATTAAATTTGTAAAATAAAACATTGCATTTCCGATCTTTGCTTAGGAAAATCTCGTAAAACTTATTTTAAATATAATCAGTTTCTATGTATTTTGGAAAGTCCACACCGAACAATCAGATTCGAAGTTTACAAAAAAAATCCATGGAACGATTTTTGACGCGAGTTATAGACATGAACCAATACGTAAGCTGCCAATACCAGGAATATATAGGTAGCTCGACTCAGCATAATCATAGCATAAGCATATTTTGTATTTTATTATTTCATGGGAGCTTTTTATATAGAATAAGTTTAGTCTTAAGTCACACACTGTACCAGTAAATTAAGTCTTAATAAAATAAATCTTTTTTTAAAAAGCATTCTACTGGTTTGAGTATTTAACTGGCGCTACGAACAGGATAGTGTTACAAGTCTCTTTATCGTTTTTCGTTGAGATTTGGCGTATCTTTATACCTTGAGCACTATACCAAAAAGAACTTCAAATACTCCTAGCCGAATCCTTTGGCTATTGTGAAGCATTGAGGCCACCAGACAAAGCACAGAAAGAAGAAAGAAACTCCACCGGGTGAAACTCTGGCAACTCTTCAATCTTTGAAGTGTCGCCGTGGATCTTAAGATTTCAAGTATTTTTTCTGAAATCAGTAGACTGATATCCGTGCGTGACAAGTACCGTAAATTTGAACTTTCGCTGCTAAAAGTTGTGTCTGTTTTGATGAAAAATGCTATGGTTCATCTTGATGACCCTTTTTATGTAGGTAAGTAATTACTAAAATTGCCATATTTTTTACATGTCTGATCCTAACCAACTTTTGAAAAACGCTTTAAGATCAAATATAAAAAGACTATAGGCTTAAAAACCAAGAAAAATAAAAAATCATTATCACTTGCTGAAAAACTAGAAACTGTTAAAAATAAATCCGATTTAAATTTGAGCGAATTATTCTCAGAGTTAGATCTTGCATCTTCTAGTACTAGCAAATCTAGTGATAATAATAAGTTGAATTTTGATACTTCATCTTCAGAGGGAGAAGAAGAGCAACTTGAATTCTTTTCTTATAATAGCCTAATTAATTCAGATAAAATGGACGTTCTGCGATCTTTTGCAACCATTTTACCTACCTTTTCTGGAAATTCAGAACACTTAGAATCTTTTATTTTGTCAATTGACGAATTTCATAGTCTATATTATAATGGCGAAGAAATTCAGAAGAAATTTGTTTTCAGTGTTATACGCTCTAAATTAGTTGAAAAATCTAGAGATTTTATTATGAGTAGGCCAGACCTTAAAACCTGGGCCGATATCAAAATAGCTCTTAGAGAAAAATATGGAGATCCAATAGGATACCAAACATTGATGCAACAATTAAATTACATCAATAAAAAAAAGCACGAAGAACTATTAGATTTTGTGCAAAGATTAAAATTATTTGTGCAAAGAATAAATTCTAAAATTCAAAGTGAAAACATAGACAATAATTCAAAGTTAATTTTATTAGCACAAGCCGAAAAAACTGCAGTAGTTGTTTTAATGTTAAATGTTCCAGAATCTTTGAATACGATTTTACTTATATACAACCCTAATACTTTAGATGCTGCTCTTGTACAAGTCACAAATTATAATCTCATTGAATCGCAAATAAACTTGAAAAATCAGGTTACCCAAAAACCTTTCAATCAACAGCGAAAGTCTATGAGTTATAATCAATCTTTCAATCAGAATTCGCAGTCATTCAACCAAAATGCTCAGCAATTCAAACAGCAAAATAATTCAAAGCAAACTTTCCCTTCTCAACCCGTTCATGTACAACCTAGACCAGTAAAACAATATTTTCCCACAAACGCCCAAGTTTTTGGAAAACCTAAAAATGCATTTGCTTCCCAAAAGAATACGAATCAAAGGCCCAGGCCCAAATCCTACCCCAATGTACGTCCAGTCAGCAGGTCCTTCTCGAATAAATCAACAACCACACAATGAGCAGTATTATAATAATTATTTCCAACCTACTGGTCCTAGAAATTTTGCATCGCAAGATATAACCAACCTTCAAACAAATCATGAACAGTCATAGGACCAAAACTCTGAAGAATATTATGACGATTATTACTATGACCAAGACATACCCAATGTACAAGAAGAGGACACTTTTTTCAATCCCCATCAGGAGACTCTCACTGCAGAAGACCAAAATTTTTACGAAGAAGCCTCTACCGACCCATTAACTTAAACAATATTGCTCAAAAAATCGAGTTACCTTATTTCTTTCTACCAAAAATGCAAGTTACAATTTTGATCGATTCAGGAGCCTCCGAATCAATAATTAATCCCAATATAGCTAACTTATACCCTGATTTATTATTCTACGAGCCTTTTGAAGTAACTGCATGCAAAAAGACCTATCGTGAAAACACCAATATTAACATTCCACTCTTGCAAGAAATAGGTATTAATTTACACCTAAAAATGCGTGTTCTTAATTGGCACCACGACTTCGATGCCCTTTTAGGAAAAAAGGATCTTAAAAACCTAAATGCTGTTCTAGATTATTAAAATAAGTGCTTGACACTTCAACGGAAAAAAAAGTAGCATTTTCACTACTAGTTGTGTATTTATGACAAACGAAGAAGTCGATCCCCCTGAAAACTCTACAGGACATCATCAACGAGGACGTTGAAGAATCTTAAGGGAGGAAGAGTTATAGACATGAACCCATACGTAAACTGCCAATACCAGGAATATATAGTAGCTCGACTCAGCATAATCATAGCATAAGCATATTTTGTATTTTATTATTTCATGGGAGCTTTTTATATAGAATAAGTTTATTCTTAAGTCACACACTGTACCAGTAAGTTAAGTCTTATTAAAATAAATCTTTTTTTTTTTAAAAAGCATTCTACTGGTTTTGGTTTGAGTATTTAACTCGCGATGTTCAATCTCTAAGGCTTATGATTCCTGAAAAACCAGAGACAGCTTTCTAATTCTACTTACTTTTCTTATAAATATGTAATGTAAAAAGTGATTTATTCATTTTGTTATGAATTTTCTTATACATATAAGTCATAAATCATATCAAAATAAACTCCAAAAAAAGCTGAGTGTCTTCGTATATAAAGTTGGCAGTAGGAAAAATAATGTATCAAAAAAAAAACACAACTTTGCTTTTTAATGCATTTTATAAGATCAAGTATTATAAAGCACTAAAGAAAATTAATGTATGATTATTGTTGCCATGATTTCAGACGTCAATCGTGACAAGAGATAAAGGCCATATTCTATAGAGCTGGGCATTTACAGTTCGTATTCCCCAGACGTGTTGGTTGATAATAAGAATTGTTAAATTTAAAAAAAACCCAACATTTACCTTTTCGCAAACGTTATTTCAATCAACCTATACATGCAAAAAATAAAACAAAAAAAGAAAATGTACTAGAGATCAACCTCCCAGAGAAGCTATAAGTATTGATTTTTTCAGGATTATTCTTATTCAGCTGTAAATAGTTAATCCACTTGATACACATTCTCAAACGCAACACGTAGCAGTATGACTCACCATTCTATATGCACCCTTGCATTAATACGAATAAAATTGTAACGAAGTCATTCACCCTCCCATCAGCGAGGGAAAAGTGTAACATTGCCGAATTGGCATCCGCACTATTCCAACCCCCCTGCCAGTCAATAATTGAGAACCGATGTGAGGTAGATAGCGAAGGGCCGAGGTTTTTCGTTTTTGTTTTAACTTTGCGGCGCTAATGAACCGGGATTTTGACCGGTTCTGAACCATTCTAGTACAGATCGGATTAAATTGAGTGGTTAGGTCTGTGCAAAAAGGATTAGGTATAGCCAATCAGACAAGTCAATTCAGGTCTAGTAT